TAGAAAGATTCTTGAGGACGTTTCGAAATGTACAAGGCATTTTATTAATGGAGATATATGGAATAGTTATGAATTTTTATCGCTTTAATATTAAATGAATTACAAATTACGTATGTCCATTTTTTGTAAATTTTTACATGTAACAATTTTTGATTTGTTTAGAAATTAGATGTTTTGTAAAATTTGTAAAAAGAATAATATTTTTATTTATCGTCTCTAATTACATTATTTGCAGTTACACAATGTTTGTGCACATTCAATAAAAAATTTAATAATAGATTTTCTTTTATGACTCTCGTAAAAGAGTCATCTTTTATCCAAGTATATCTACCAGTGATTTCCCGATTTATGAATCATGACTCGTGATGGTCATCAAATATTTTTCTTAAGAGTCTTCGTTATTATTTTTAAATCTTCTTATTCTTTTCTTTTTTTTTTTTTTTTTTCTTAACTTTTTAACTACTTTATTTTATTATAATTACATTACATACAGTAGATATAGTAAATATAATAAATAAAGTAATTGGTGAAATTATAAAAGTATCATTAAATCTTTAAATATCTGTTATTCTCAAAAACATTAAAAATGGATATACAATGGATATTTATTGTTGTAAACCATGTATACTTTTACTTTTAAGATTTATAAAATGAAATAATCAAGAACTTGAATTAAATTAATTAAATAATGTTGTTATTGGGGAACGAGCATCATATAATTCTGTTAAATACTTCGATGATTGATCGATGATTGATGTTGTAATTAATTGACTTTGTATTTTGTATAAATGTAAATTGTTAATTTCATTTAATGAATCATAATCACATACTTATATCATAAATATAATAAGAAAAAATTGTATTTTTACGACGTAAAAAAAAAAAAATGCAATAGTCAATTGCAGTATAAATATTTTTACGTACATTACTTTTAACATTATTGCTTATTAATACACGAATATCCTTGCTCATTTATTCCTGCAATACAGTAAATATTAATTATTGAAAACGTATTTTACAAACGTAATTTCTCGTTTTTTTCACCAAATCATTGTTACTCAATTATGCGTTTTGTTCTTTTTTTTTTTTTCTTTTTACATTCAGTGCTTCTCAATATTTTTTAAGGCATGATCTTCTTTTATGAAAAGTATAAAAAATTTTATAACTCTCCTTTTTAATCTTGATCCCCTTCTTTCTGAACTAAAATGCATTTTTAATGGTGTAAAGATGATATAATATTTATTTTTGAAGATTTAGCGATGAAAAATCTATATTTTATAACAAATATGAAATATTTAATATTTAGAATGTGATTACAATTTTTTCAATTTTATCATGATAGATTAATATTTTACTTTATTCACCCGTGATAAGATGTAATAAATAAGTGTTAAAAATAATTTCTCTAAAAATCACTTATCTATATATTAAAAAAAAATTACTCTATGCTATTCAGATTATTAAAAAAATTCATATTACTGAGAAGAATTTTCAAACAACGTGTTACGTATTTATACGGATAATAAATAAATAAATTTTTTTTCGTCCACATAATCCAAAAAATAACAAAAATTATTTTTCCACAATATTTTTTCTTTAAAAAAACTATTTATCTAAATTATGTAGATTGAAATATTTTATATATATATCAATAATAAATAAAGAAAATATCATATTTAGATAGCTATATTTAGCTCTGTATGAAAAAAATAATAAGAGAAAAATTAAAATCAATCTATTTTATCTTTTTTGAATTCAATAGTAATTTCATTATTTTAGGATTTTGGTTAAATGAATTAATTTTTTTCACACAGGTAGATATAATTACGTAACATTTATGATCGACTTTATATCAAGTCTTTTATAGTATCACGAGATTGGAAAATGAACAATTATCTTCCACGCTCATATCAATCTATGGATAAATAAAGATAACGATATGATAATCTGACGACTCTAGTTTCATAGTTTCTTCAATTTATTATTACATTATACATATTTTATTGCTTTTTAAACGATAATATTTGTATTATTTAAAATTAGTAAAAAATTACCAATAAAGTAACGTTTTTTTTTTTTTACAAAACGAATATATAATAACATTCGATCATTAACGACACGACACTTTCTCATAGATATTTTTCCATCAAAAATAAAAAAATTGCAGTTTCGGCTTAATTTTCTCAATTATTGATGATTAAATGTTTAAATGTAAATATATTTACCTGAACGAATATGATTCGATTAATGGAGACTACAATAATTTCCAAATTCAACAATATATAAAATTCAACGAAAACTATTTTATTCCATTTTTATTTAATCAATAATAAAAATACAATTTTCTTATTATTCTTCATCTTCATTCTTTTCACTTAAAGAATCACCCTTCAAATTTTTGGATACCTGCAACCAAACACAAATTGTGTATATTTAATTTTCTAAATACATAAGTAGTTTTCTAAACGCATAAGATACTTAAGTATACCTAGCTAAGATATGAATGAACATTTCTGACACACTGCCATGATCGAGTTTGTTCCTCAATATTTACTCAAGCTTTTCAACTCGAAAAAATCTTACTATCGATACATTTGATCAAACAGATTGTCTTTATTTTAGCGTAAAAAAATTTTCCATTTATACTTTTACTGTTTACTTATTTTTATCGTTGATACGATTCAGCAAACATTTATGCATTCTTATTATTAAGAAAAAATGAAAAAAAAAAAAAATTTAGCGAAAATTTGCAAAAAAGAAAAACTGTCAAATCGTCAGAGTGACCGAAGCCGCGAAAGCCTTTTTCTTCGATATACCGATGGAGCCATAAATAGCGAACGTCAGTATCTTGGACCAGTCCCTGTTTCGTATTTATGGTACAGTCGGTAAAAGAAAATTGCGACGCGGTGAGAGATAACGCGGGCCAAAACGAAAATTTTAAGCGGGACGAGGTGAAAACAGAAGCGAACACAGATAAAAGAGGCAAAAGGCCGTTCGACAGTTGTCGAATGCAGCACGTGTCTCGTGCCACGTGCCTAAAGGTCGTTGCCCGGCCTATACCAGATTTTGTTTGATCCCCTCCTCTCCTCCTCTGCTGTCCCTCTCGTCCACCATCCCCTCCTACACTTTGCCTAGCTCTAGCTTAACTAGTGGGACACGTATATTTCATATATCGATTAAAGATTTATCGAGGAACCGTATTTTATCACGTATTCGTCCCTTCTTTTTTAATCGTTCTTTCCGCCCACTCAGTTTTATTCGCGTATGAATTCTACCGTATGAATACGTACCGAGAGTATTTAGTAGCGCATACTGTAGTAAGCGATATAGGAGTGAAGTGAGGGACAGACAGAAGAGGGCGCTTTGGACTTTGTCTAGTTCTAGCTTAGCTAATACTACGTATGCATGAAGTGTATCGATTAAAGATTTATTGAGGAATTATTCGATCTCTTTTCTTTTTTTTTTTAATTCGTTCACTTTTTATTTATTCTATTTTTGTGGAATTTTATGTATCGTAGATTTCATGCGTATCGCAAGTGTTACGCGTGTAGAGAATATGATGAGAGGTTATGAATATAAAGTGAAATTACAAGTTTATTATCTTTTTGTTTTTTTCTCGATTCTACTACACGAATTAGCATTATTCAATCGCGAGAGTAGAAGGAATATTAAAATTTATCAATTTTCTTTGTCGATTCTCAATAACAGAAAGTTTTGGATTCTCCAGTTATAATACCATCGTCGTAAATTAATAGTTTCGAAATTTCTATCGTTCTAACATTTGAATGATATGCTCGTGATTTTCTTTTGAATATCAGTATTAACTATAATACTGAATATTTTCGGTATGTTTTTTTATGTTTCTATGCATCAGTGTCGTTACGTAACTAAATGTAATTTACGACACGAACAATTCTTGACGCTACGTGAACCGCTGGCAAGTTACACTAAGCTCGTACACTGCAATCGCCACGTAAACCATCCGCTATTAATAGGAACCAGCCGCACCTATTTATCTTGCATAGGAGAGTCAAGTGCAGCTGGCTAACCAGCCGCTATGCACGACCGACAACGAATCACTCGATTAACAATCGAGTATTATAGTTTTATCATTCCCTTTTTTTTTTTTTTACTTCTTTTCTTTCATAGCCTTTTTCGATCTCTTTCATCTACGTATTCATTTATTCTTTTTCTCTTTTTTTTTTTTTTTTGAAGCTCTTAATTGTATCGATTATTCTATTACTATTATTATTTTGAACTATGTAAAACTTGACCTTTTGACCAAACAAATAAATACGTGTCCAAGTTTTTAAATCTATGATCGTGAAGCAGGAAACTGATGAAAGTGATAAGGATCGAAATGTATTTTCTTCGTAACTGACGTACGTATAAATCTATCGTACGCACAAATGAAAATACAAAATTTGCTTTTATACACGATACGATAAGATAAAAGGCGATATTATTTTTTTAGAACATGAAATGATCAATTTCATATAAAATATATCTGTAAAGAAATCTATATCGGGATTGGGTTTACTATGCAAATGTTTCGAAACATTAACCGTTTTTAATTTAATAATTAAAATTTTTTAATCGTTATAACGTACGGCAAAATTATTGCATGTATGTGATGGATGTTGCGTCAGTTTTAAATCATCGCAAAATTTCTCTCATTTGTGTTAAAAAACAAATTGGCTGGTCATTTTTGATTTGTAACAAAATTTTCTCTAGTTTAAATTAAAACGATTTTATCAAATTTAATTCCAAAATTTATTCTTGTTCATCAACAAATCTAACTTTTAATTATATAAAAATTCAATTTTGCGAATGATTCTCAACAACACTCGGTAAATAAAACTTTTCGTTTATTTAGAAGTACTCGTGAAAATATTCAATTTATACAAAATAAATCGTATATTTTATCATTAATTGTAATTTATCATAAAATTACGATATTAATTCTCACAAATTTCCCGACGTTTTGAATCAGGAACAATAATGTTCATATATATATATATATATACATATGTATATTCTCAAACGCCATATATCTCCTCCCCGTTTTCCTTTTTTTCGCATTGCGACATTTGAACTTTAAGATGTTCTGCCACGACTGCTACGACTGCATTAATTTCCGCGTAAAATCCTGTATAACCTAGCCAACAACATGCGGCTATGCGGCACCGAGGGAAAACACGTTTCCACGCCTATGCATCCCAACGGACATACGTAAGTAAGTATAAGTACTGTACCACGTGTTCTATCCTCGCGTGACTAGGTACTGGGAGCACGTGGCCCCCCACCACTTTCCCCTTGGATCCGTCGAACGCTCACGAAAAAGAAAGAAGACGGATGTAGTATAAATACGGGTGGGAAGGAGAAGGAGATTGAGGGGAGGGAGGCACGTTTGAGACTGGCGAGGAGAATTCGGAAAGAATGGGTGGCAACTTGATGAAAGCGCGAAGGAGAAAACCGATAGAGAAGGACGGAAATAGATAGCGAGGGTAGAGACGCGGAAGATGCAGAGGGTTCGCAAAGAGGAAGCTGAAACGGCTCGTGTAAAAGATGGAATTTCTTAAGGCGAATGAAGGACAGAAAGTTTTAGAAGTATATGAATTTTCTTTTTTTTTTTCATGACAATTTCTCCAAGGGAATTTTTAATTTTCGTGGAATTATATTGTATTAAGTGTGTCGATAATATAGTAGGCAATTACATTGAAAAAAGTGTATATCCGTAGATATAGTTTTATATCTCGAACGAAGATTCGTGTTTTCGCAAATTTTCATCGATTTGTCCGATTTATATGATAATCGATAATTGATGGACAAATTGTTATACTTGATATTGTATTTTGAAATTTTCAGACATCTTTGTATTTTATTACGAACTTCGATTTATAGGAATTGTACAAAGATAAATAGAGATCTCCATTCGTAGTTTTGGAATCTTCCACTTATCATCATAATGGCGCAACATGACACAAAAATGTCGTATTTCATGTCACTGTCCAACTACATAACAAATACATGCTAACCAAGATAACGAGTATTTCAAATAATCAAATAATCGAATCTTTCGTACCTCTCGGTATTTCTGTTTCACTGGGTAACGTATTCTCGACAAGATTCGCATCACTTGTACAAGAATCGTGATATTTCAAAAAACTATTTTTTTTTTTTTTTGAATTTTGATCTTTCTCTTTTCATTTATCAAAGCATAAAAAATTTCTTCATTTACATGATTTATGTTCTATGTAATTACTTGTTCAACAATTATTCTAAATCTTTTATCACGATAAATTATTCAAAAATATACTTTTTTTTAAAAAATGAACCGATGCCTCATCGATCGTATCTGATTAATATCGACTATTAAATCGAATGGGTCAAAAATAACCCATTTTTTATTATAATTTATATTGTTTAACTTTTTCAACTCTGGTAGGATATATCTCAATGAATATTTTTGAGTCTTTATAGTCTGACTATACTACCTATACTATTACTATATCTATTGATTGATAACAATATGATTGTGACAATCATAGCCACGAACTGGATAATCTTTATTTAAATAAATAAGTATATATATATATAGTTACCAGATTAAACGACTGATATATTTTAAACAATTCTCAAAAATTTTATATTCTTTTTGTTGAAAAATTTTTCATATTATTGCTTTTTTTTTTCATTTGAACAAAACTTTAATTGTGTTTAAATATAAATATATTTACAATGAAAATAAATATATATTAAGTAGATATGTAACACACTGACGGAAGACCGCAAGTATTTAATAGCGCTTAATTTTAGATAGATATATATATATATACATATGTTTCATTCAAAAGAACTACAGGGACGTTTCAATTTTTAAATAAAATTTAATTCATACATGTTTTATTTTCATACTTTTAATAGGAAAAAATCGAATAGAAAAATGTCAAGTCGAAAGGATTAATCGAATATAAATAATCGAAAAATATAAGGCATCCGGTAAGTACGTACGTGCAGCGCGACGATGGAAGTTTTATTCGATAATTGCTCGTACGGGAGTTTCTTCCAATAACGCCCAACACTGACGACGAGTAGGTGACACAGGGGAATAAGCTCGAAGAGAAAGGACAGGCAACCGAAGAGCGGAGGTTGTCAAAAAAGAAGGAAGAAATAGAGAGATGGGGTTGGAATAAAAGAGGCTAAAGGGAGAAAAGAGAGGGAGTGCTCGACGAAGATAGAAGGAGAGAGGGAGAGAGGTAAAGAAAGAAAGAAATAGAAAGGGATAGAGCACGAGATGACGGAAGAAAAGGGGAGCAGAGAGCGAGAACAAAGTTGGTGGTGGGGTCGATAGTTGGCCGAGTTGGCGAGAGAGCCGGTTGTGTAACAAAGGAACGAAGCAAGTAACAAGAATCCCAAGGTGCATTCGTCGATTTACTCCGGCTTCCTTGTACGAGCGGCGTTCCGCTGATAAATCAGCGAACGTCGTCCCTCAACTTGCAACTTCTACTTGCGCGTATGGTTCGTTTCTAATCTAAACCGATAACACCCGAGATCATGCGACGAGTTCCGACCATCTGCTCGCGTTATATCCTACCGGGCTTTCGCAACCATTTTACGCGAAGAATATTACAATTAGAACGGGTCAATTGATGTCATTCTCGATAACATGTTGTTCAATGAAATCGTTTCGCTCGAATAATGTTAGTTTTCTCATAAATTTGTAATGTTTTTTAGATCGTATATATACATATATATACGGATCATTATATTTGCCAATTAGTCATGCTTTTCAATTAATATTACTGTTGATATTATTTTTAATTATTATATTATTTTTTATTTTATTATTCCGTTAACAATTAAATAATTATCGATTCATAAAATTAAAAAGAAATTACTAACTGTGAATATATTAATTGATTTTTACATTTGCAAGAATAATAGTCTATATAACATTTAAATATTTATATTTTTTCAATATGTCTGATTTTGTTCTGTAATCTAAACAATTAAATATTTATTTTAAAATTTTTTCAAATCGACAATAATTAATTTCTTTAAGTTATGTTTCGATGAGAATATACCATTTATATCTTTCAATTGTTTTCTTGCAATTGTTAATATATAATAAACAAATCATAATTACTACAATTATCTGTATCCCTTTTCTCAAAACGTTGCCTTATTTAATTAACAAATCTATAAATTTACGTCTACGATCAAACGTCAAAAAGAGAATGCGGAACTTATAAATGTATTTAAAAAAAAAAAAGGACTGCATTCTAAAATAAAATATAATATTCTAAAGTGCGTAAATAATACAAGAGAGAACAAGACAGGAAGAAACAAAGCACGGAGAGGAGAGAAACGTAGGAGAAAAAAATTGCAAACATCGGGAGAGGACGGAAGAGGAAAAAGGGGCGAAGCCGAGCAAAGACTTACACGAGTTGTTGCTTACGTAAGTAATGTACGCAGATAAGAATGTGCTTATCTGAAGAACGCTAGCATGCGAGCTACCTCGAACGACAGAAAAGTATGCGCGTTAAATCGGAACGGTACACTGCGACGACACGACTTCTTTGAACTTTATTGGCTGTTTACAACAGCCAATCATTTCATACATTTTTACACGCTCATAAGTAATTTCTATTTATGACATCCATTAGTAATTCGATATATAATTCGTAAGAAAGAATAAACTTTTATTAACTCCTTAATCTAATCTAACCTAACTTTTAAACTCTTTTCGCTGAATTTTCGCTAAAATAATAATTAAATTTTTTTTATTTATTCATTACAAAGCTCTTCTTGTCAAGCTCTTCTCGCAGATTTATGCTGTCAGACGGTACTTGCATATGTCTCCATTACTGAGACTTGAATCTTCACAATCTCGACGCGAATATATTATAAATTTTTTTAAATATTTCGACACTCAATCCCTCTTCGTCTCTCATTTAACTGTCATATTATTTCATCCTTCTTGCAGGCAAAGATAAAATAAGGTTAGAATTTTATCGTACGTAATTTCCTGTAAATTTGTAACACTTGTAAATAAATATTTATATTATATTTATATACATGATGTTATCAATGATGTGGCAAGAAAATATAAAATTATGAATTCTTTAACGATAATAATTTTAGAATGAAAAATTGCTTATTATAATAATATATAACTCGTTATTTCATGCAAATAATCACAAGTAAAATTCTATCGATATAAGTAGATATGTCTATAAAAACTTCTTATTTATTAAATGTGGATTATCCTTAATTTTTTCTTTTTTTTTTTTTCTTCATATTCACTTTGTCATGATTTCATTATAGATATATTGTTATTAAAGAATTGCGTTATGTAACGACAATGTGCACGACAATTTGTTCAACATCTATCTAAGTAAAGATCGCGAATTCTCCATATCTCTCGTGCCAATTATTTTCATAACGTGGTTAAAAGTGCACAAAAAATTTGGATCACAACTAATGTTTGTTTTCTCCCATTCGAATGAATGTTCAAGGTCTTTGTAAATAAAAGAGGTAATTGTCACATTGAAATCCTCGATTTCTCGGAAATGTGTTAATATAAAAAAATTAGATTACCTCGAAAATTCTTTTCATTTTTTCGGTATTCATCCCACAGTGAAATAGATCATCATACTTTAACGATATTATTTATCGTTCACAAAATTTTATATATTAGCTTATACGTGAACTCCTAATGTCCGAGTTTCATCCTTCCATTATTTTATATACAATATTAAAAGGAATTGTATTTGCAAAATGCAATTATTTTAAACATTATTTAAAGAATTATTTTTTTTAAATAATCAATCATCCGATTATTCTTTTATTATTAATTTTCTAATAATTTTGTTAAAATTATAAAATATAATTTATATTTTAATATGATTAATTGATTAACGAAAAAAAAAAATACACGTGATTTTGAAAAATTAAATGATCCTAATATCACTGAAAAATCAATATTTTTTTAAATCAAAAATGTTTTTAGAATAATTTAATTCAAACGAATATGACCAGGCCAAACTGATAATTTACAGATACATAGATATAAGAAACAAATTAATATAAGAGTTTCGTTGACATAGGCCGCGATGGCCCCTCTTCCGTTTGCTACCACGAGGTAGGTCGATCCAATTGGGGCTCGAATAGCCTAACGTAGTGGCCTCCCCTTTGAGTTCCCGTTGCGATCAATACCCACGATGCCAAAGCCAACGCGGACTACCAACTTCTCATATAGGTCCCATCGTGAAGCATCACTATCCTTAGCTATATAGCAAAGATAGTGGCTGTCAGTTTATTCTCTTGTCAATCATAATTCTCGTTACAAAATGTATTAAAAATTTTCTCTCAAGACATAAAATTATATTGGATTATTACTTTTACTAAAAAAAAAAAAATTAAACCCATGAAATTAAATTAAAATATTAAAATTATGTTATTTAAATTGTAATAGAATAATTTGGAAATTACGGTAGAATCGAAAAATAGATAATTTCTGGTTTAAAAATGAGTTGAAAATATAAAATCAAATTTGAAAATTCATTAGATAAGTGTGCGCTTATAATAATCGTATTATATGAAATATTCGATAAATTTTAAAACTTGATTTCTTAATTTCTAAAAATAGAAGAATTTTATTCCATTTTTATTTTCGATTCAATTTTAAATCTCTGAATTCGTTTCCTTCTCTTTTAGAGATATTCTATATATATTTATTTTAATCAAGTTCAGTTTTAAATTTTGCAAGAATCAAGAAATAGATACCATTTTACTTGTAATATATATCTTTATTTAACAATTTTGCCTAGTTGTATCTTTTCTTAATCCTTCAAGTCTTGAATTATGTCGACACTACTTTGTGCATACGAAGAGAGATCCTTGTTACGAAGCTGAATATGGTATCTCTGAATTATAACTTGTCAAAGAACTTCAAGAAAATAATATGTACAAGTTTCATCCATATGTACAAGTTTTAAAAATATATATTCAATTCAGTGTAATATGTATTGTATTAAAATAGTATTAAAGTAATAAAATTAAATAGTTGTAGAAAAAAATATGGCCCATCGTCGGCATAGCGTTTCGTTTCCACCGGCGTATCCAATACTTTATCTAAATACACCTACATAATACATGCATGTTTGTAAGAACATTTGTGAATGTACATATGTGAATTTATACGTACAGCTGCGCGTTGCGTCACTCTCCGCAATTTCGGATACCCGTTTACCTACTCGTAATCGCAACAAGGAAGAGGAAGCACAAAACTCCATTCCCCTCGATGACCTTTCTCTTTCTGTCGATTATCATCGAGCGTGCGCATATACGTCCGCGATCACGCAGTAACGCACGACACACATATACTGTTCATTCTCCTTGAAAGTTGCACAACGCATCGCCTTCCCATTGTTTCGACTTCACACGGTATATCCACGGTTCATATCCATTGAATCTATGGAATTCATCTCGGTACTTGATCAAAATATAAGAATTATTGGAACCTTAACTCTTTCGAGAATCGTCCGCAGCAGGTATATAATTTCCGATAGAATCTCTTTCATAATGTTTTTGGTGTTACTAAATGTTTTACCATTTTAATTTTTTTTAACATCGAAATATGTATCATTTCGTTATATAAATGGAAATTAACTTTTTACATTTATAAAAAATCTTGGCTGGGAAACAATACTGAAAAGAAAATTGAATTATTCATTATATTTATTTTAACCATTACCAATTTATGATTAATACTTTTTCAAAGAAGTTTAACAAAAGTTTAACATTATCGAAAAGTAGCACGCTCCGGAAGCGATTGATCCAAACAAATAAATATATCGTAAAATCGTATAGAATCGTATAGAACTTTGGATATACTAAATAGATAATGTGCAGCCACTAGCTCATTTTGCAAAGTGCATAGAAAGGTGCGTGTGAGCAATAGTCACGCATACAGTGTACTATTCGTAAAAGAGCGCGTATCCGTCATATTCCGCGCGACTCACACGCGCTCACGAACAAAGAAAAAGCCCTAGCGACCAGCAATGCGGCAACGGTGAGCGCCTGCGCGCCACGCTATGTGAGTCAAGGACGACACGTGCGCTTGAAACGACCTACTTATATCGCCGTTGCTTCGTGCACGATCGGTTCGCAGCACGAATCTTCCCGAACGTAGAAATAGGACGACCAAGTTCCAATGTTCTGTCGAGCTACCACCCCCTCCTCTTTCCTATGCGCGCAAGCTTCGTTAATCGACTAACCGCTATTCGCATAGCACCGTTCTTTCGCGTTTAATCTTTGAATCGTAAAGATCGTTTCAGGTTTCATTTTAATTTTTCTTCATTTTTTATTCTAACACATCGATCGTATATTTCTTCAATTTTTTACAATTTTACGTGTTCATGGATATTGTGTGATCATCGTTTTTTCTATTCATACAAATGGTAAGTTAATATTTATCTCTGATCTTTTACATTTCAAATGAAAAAACAAGAAAAAAACATTAGTATCAATACGAGAAATATCACGCATTACGTAATGTCAATTTACATTCAACGATTACTGTAGAGTTTCAAAATTCGAATTAGCAATCAATAGTTTTACATCAATAGTTTGAAAAGTTAAAATATTCTATTCGATTAAAATAATGATTAAATCATGATTAGCCTACGAGTTGGAATATCTGGAAAAAAAAAAATCTTAATTGTTGGAAGCCATTATGGTGCCCTATATGCGAAACGTGCAAAGATCGATAAAAAAATGGGTCAAAGATTCAATAGCGCTTTCGATGTAAATTAAAATAGCAAAAAGTAATTTGATTATTTTTCTCAGAATATTATCGGATGAAAAACGATACGGAAAAAAGACAAATTCGTATTCATCCAAACATATTTATCATGATTTTGCGCATAGCGGCAAGAAGGGTTGGTTGAAATCCATCCCCATGTCGTAATCAAGAAATATATACACACTACTACAACGATCTTTTGGACCTGTAACATGGAATCCAAAAGCGGTGGGTATGAAGGCTGTCTCGATTCGTCGGTTTTCTTCTCATCGACAGCATAAGTAGCGCGTTTCCGCGCGGCTTGTGGCCAGTTCCTGTTCGACCATCATACGATCGTAGCGAAGCGCGGGCGTGTGGAATCTTCCAATATATACCACACAAAGATATGTCGATGGCTTCTACGTGTGCGTACAGAACTCTGCAAGTAGCAACCATATATACACGTGTGTATTGTATACATACATATATGTATTATATGTATATATGTATATTCATGTGTATGTGGTGTCCTCGCAGAATATCGTTTGTGTAAGATTGAGAGTGGCCTCGTGTGCTTCCTACGTATGTGTAATTGTGTGCTGCTTCATGGATAGTGAACGCCGCGGGAATTCGTGGTGTGCAATCGACCAATGGCAGGCCAAGTAGCAACGGCTATGCACCAATCAGAGAGCAGAAATGCTTGCGAATGCGCGCCACACTTACCACCGGATGCCGATCATACTTGGTAGTGGGGATAAACTGAGAGTGCGGCACAGGCTACGCGCTCGAGCGCATCCTCGTTCGTCGCTGCTCGCCGTCGGAGTCGGTCGTGTTCGGTACTTGAGTCCTCCTCTCCGACAATTTTCCGAAGTCTGAAGAAAGCTCTCTCGTCGTTTGCCAGAGGCTCGAACGCCATCGTGGTGATTACCACGTTCTCCATCCAACGACATTGTTCCATCACTTTTACTTCTCATCGTTCACAATTTGGATCAAACTGCGATCTGTGCTATCACTCCTGGGGACGTTTAAAATACACGACCTTATCGTGATAAAAAAGAATTCGTGTCGCATATCCGTTCGATTTTTATTGTGTCGTGGCGTGGTCCGTAAATTGCGTGCGTGGCGTGGTATCGAGACCGGACTTAATTGGAAGCGAGCACCAAATTCCGAATAATTGGCTGTGAATACAACTTGGCTTGGACCATTCACTGTGCACCATTTTTTATCTTTTTATGATTTTCCTGTATAAGTGATCGCGATTTCCAAAGAGTAGTTATTGCGGAAATGTGCATTTGCATCAAACAAACGATTTTAATAATTCATTTGAAGATTCAACAAATCAATCGGTTAATCATTTAATCTGTATTGTGTTTTTTTTCGCATAATAAATTACAATTTTTTATTTCCATAATTTATATTAAACATCATATGTAATTCATTGTAAAAAGAACATTGTTTCATTCAATATGTCAATCCATTTCGCATATAATTTTTCCGATTTATGTCGTGTGCAGTGAACTCCGATAAGTGCCAGCGCGGCACATGGAAGTCTAACAGATCTCTTTAAAATCAGTTATAATCGTGAAAGCGAAGAGAAAGAAAAATACGAAACAATGCAGGAAGATTTTATTAATTTGGTGAATAACGATTTGACGATTAAAGATCTACTCTTTGTGCACATAAAAAAAAGGATTAAGCAGAAACGTTGTTCATACGTTGGCGGTGCTCGTGTCCGTGTTCCTCTGGCTATCAGTGGATAAAGATGGCGGTCTCGTCGTTTGGTTGGTTCGTTGGTTGAGTAGTGAGAGGGGCAACTGTGACGCAACCTAACGTCACGTGATCAAACCGTGGCTCTGCTCTCGCTGGGCCAGTGTGTGATCTAACGTTTGTTACGGCAGTTGGTGGAAGATAACGTCTTGAAGAGTGCAGGATAGACAAGGAGTACTTTTTTCGACGTTGCTCTCGATGGCTTACTCGTTGCCCGATGCAACACCTTGATCTTTTTCTCGGTCGCTAGGTCAGTGGGGGTGAGAACTGGCTTGGCTCTCTGTGCTACGATAGTCAGTCTTTTTCTCTCTCCTATCGGCTTTGCGACATATCTCTCTCGACGTCAATCGAAGACAGTCCCACATTTACAAGAAGATAATACATTTC